CCCCCACGCTGCTGCCTTCCACAGAGGCAGCAGCATGGGGGGAGGGGCAAGAGCTGGTGCTTATGGGAAGCCATCTTAAAAGCCAGCTCTTCTCTCACCTGCCCCCTGTGCTGTTGCCTCTGATATAGAGGCAGCAGTGTGTGGGGGACGGGGAGGGGAGGGAAGGGAAGGCATATTTTTTCCACCCATGTTACAGTGGTAATCCAATATCTGATGTATTGCCTATGTGCAAAAAAATCCATATCTTTGTTTGCCAACTTGCTCTTTTGATATGTTTTTAAAAACTCTCCTCGCATGATGGGAGTCTGGCCACTGACTTGTCTTTTTTGATGTGGAGACTGAGATTTTAAGAAATTTAGATCCCTATGGATCTTTCATTTTTCACTCTGTGATGACAGTGCTGCACCAAACATGCGTTCATTTGAAAGCTGTTCATCAGACTTACTTGCCAGAAGAACATCCACAAAACGTTTGGATGACTTAAGTTCCTGCAGATGATTACTAGCAGATTGATAGCATCAGCTGATTTTATTGTGCTGCATAAAACAATTGGACACATGCTTTGTCCTTGTTGTGCATGGCATGAATTTGCAGAAACAGTGTTTTCTTCCCCCTAAACTTGCCTATAATTTACTAGTGGAATAGTTTTTGCAGTTTGTACATCTGAGGCTACGGCTACACTATGACTTTTGCTGCAAGAGGTAATGCAAACGAAGTGTGGATTAGCATTTTCCCGTGCTTCTTTTGCATACTCTCTTTTGTTCCGTTTTTGCTCTAGGGGTTTTGCGCAAAAGCAGGCAGTGTGGCCGTGGCCGTTTTGTGCAAAACCCCCCTTTTCTGCAAGATCTTTGTCTGTCCCAGAGAGACATAAGGATCTTGCAGAAAAAGGGCTTTTTCCACAATACAGCCACAGCCACACTCATTCCGTTTTTGTGCAAAAACAGGTAAAGAGAATATGCAAATGAAGCGTGGGAAATCCGTGCTTCATTTGCATTGCCTCTTGTGGCAAAAGTCATAATGTAGACAAAGTCTGGGGGAAGTAGAGTTTTTTTAATACTTTTGTAGCAGCTTGGGCAGAAGATTCTTCTTGTAAATAAGATCATTGTGTATTATTAGCCGTCATTGTCACAAGGTGACTATTGTTACAGTGTAACTAGATGGTTTTGGTTTAAGATTAATTTTACTCAAGTAGGAAGAATGGCCATGTTGAGTGATTAAACTGCATCCTTAGCAAATATGTCTACTCAGTGTCATCTCATCTTTGAAGTGCTGGCTCTCTTAGTGTTACTCTCTCAAATGTTTCTGTTTTTAGAAATGGTGTTGTAGTTGTTAGTCCCAAGATATTAGAAAGACAATGTGGGTGTGGTAACTTTTTTTTTTTTGACTACTTCATGTTGTTGAGAGAGACAAGATTTTGACCCTACGCAGAGCTTTTCTTTTGGTCTCCATTTTCTCAGCAAACTTGTCTGTGTCTTTTATGAACATTTTCTTGTTTTCTTAAGAAAAGAGTGTATCAGGACCAATGACTAGAAGATCCGCGTGCTCTGGTGACTATAGAAGCAAGTGAACATACAATATTCTGTGGTCAGATACAGAGTCTCTTCTGTGGTTCAATGCAACTCTGATGTGTGCCATGGTCTACTTGCTTGTGTATTTCTAAAAGCAGTTGCTGCGATAGTATTGGTTGCACATCATCTAAACTAGAATATTTCTCCAGTAACTACCAATACAATTAATTTCTCCTGGCTTTTGCTGCCAACCCCACAGAATTCTGCCCAGCACTAGTAGCTTCTGACAGGTTTCCATTCTTTTGTTATTTGTTAAGAAAAATCATGCTTATCAAAGTTTTAAAGCAGGTAGCTGTATTAGTCTGTAACTTTAAAACAAGTAGTCCACAGGCGCCATAGGATTTCTCGTTGTTTCTCAGAGTTTGTGTAGTCTTTTTCTGTTTAAGATGTTTGTAGCCTCATGTCTACATATTGTGTAACTTCCATGTAGAAGTAAATACCCAAAGTATATTGTTAGTAATGCAATATGTTAGTGTCAAAATGACATTTTTGTTTTGTGAGCACTTGGATTGAAGCCTAATGTGAAGCTGTAATATTGTCTCTTATACTGTCCTGTGCCCAAGTGTCACTGAATTGAAAAGATATGCATTCACAGGCAATTACAAATTCAAACTTCCTGCCTGGCAGACTAGATGCTCCATTGTATGTGTAAAATCTTGCAATTTTGGAAGCATTGCATTAGAGATCCACATTCAGTATAAATTGTGAGCATGCAAGCTACTGCTACTAGCAGGGATGTGAAAGTGTAATCATGTACACAGTTTACCTATGATCCTGGGTTCACTGGTTAACCTTCACGGTTACACACAGGCTCCCGGTACGTATGGGGAACTGGCTTAAGGCGGCTTCCCGCTCACATCACCCCCTAGAGCAGTCGTACTCAACTCATTTCAGTCCACGGACCACCAGGCCGATCAAAAAATTTTCGTGGACCACCTCCTTTTTGAGATATGATAAAAAAAGAGCAGACAACGAACATTTTGGTTTGAAATTTATTTCTTATTAACAGATTTTTGGATTTTCTTCTCACTGACAAGCTTTTCAGTGTTTGGAGCGGTACTTGATAATGCACAACGAATATTGCTTTCCACTGCAAGCTGATTCCTCTGTTTGGACTTAATGTGCAACAAACACAAAAATCCAGTCTCTCATGTATAAGTTGATGCAAATGGCAAAAGAAATCTGACTGCGTGCACTGACAGATTTGGGTAACTCCCGGTCACACTGGCCCAAAATTTCTCTATGGGAGACTGCTGGTACACGTCTTACATCTGAAAAATGATTTTGCAGCTCAAGAATTCCTCCTGCAGATCCTCTGGAATACTGTTAACATCTGTTGTAAATGGATTCCTGATGAAAGATAATCCATCCCTTGTCCTATCCACCTCTGAACAGTATCATTGGAATTTCTCGTAGCTTCCATAAATGATTGAGAATTTGCATCCAAATGGCTTCTTTTTTCCTGAGCATGACATCCACACGTGGAAATTGAACCAAATTATTGCCTTCAACTCTTAGGATCCAGAGTTCCAATTTGTCAAGAAAAGCCTTGATGATGCTTTGGTGAGAGAACAGACTTGCACCTTTCTCTTGCAGCTGAAGATTCAGTTTCCTCTGAATACTTGTACTTGATATTTCTTCCTGTCATTGCTATTATAAACAAACTACAGCACACCTGTAAAACAGCACATGTAGCACAAGACGAACAACACAGCAACTGCTCAGCACGATGGCGGCAGCTACACTGATGCTCAGAGCCTCAGACCAAAGTTACTGGCAACACAACGCAGTTGCGTCCTAGATGAAACTGTGGATGATGGGCCGCGTGCTTGTGAGCACAGCTTAAAACCACCTAATGGTGGTGCCTGCTCACGCCGTGTGACTTTGGACAATGTTCCTGTGGACCGCTGAAAAAGTCACCATGGACCACCAGTTGAGAACCACAGTCCTAGAGAGCTGACTGCCAGATGCCCCTTGTTGCTGCCTCTGTATTTTAAATCAGCTCTCCACATGTGCTGGCTCAGCAGACCTTCCTGCCCCCTTTGCTGCCTATTACAGAGGCAGCAATTTGGGGGGCCAGGCAGGAGCTGGTGCTGCTGCCTTTTTAGCCTTTGTCTGTGGGGAGCTTGCTAAAATTTGATATGGTTGCACAACTATTCAGTGACATGCTATCTAACATCCCTGGTTAATATACTGCAAAACGTTGTTTGCTTTTTTGCTAAACCATCACTTTTTGGGGAAAAAGCTGCTCATGAAAAACCAATAAAAATATGTAAATGTGTTGTTTGATAACTTTGGTCAAACACCATACTGTACTAACAGGTTGAAATGTTTTTAAACAGTAAAAACTGTAGACATAGTCATATTTCAGTATTTCTAGAATTGTGTGAAAAGTGACACTTTTTTCTCAGTTTTGATACCATTATTTCACCTTGCCTACAGACTTATGACTCTGCTTGAGGTATGGCATCATCATATCTCATCTAAATGTAAATAAAGTAAGCTTTCAAATTATATAGAATGTTGGTGTGTGTAGGGTGGATACTTTAAACTCCATAAATGGCTCTCTCTTGGAGAATTACCACATGCCATGTGCTTGCTGCAAATTGCTATTCGTCCCATAAATAAATTTATAGGAAAAGATACACAACAGGAGGAGGAGAGAGGAAAACAGAGGGTGAATCTTCAAAGAGGTTTGACGAGAAGAAATCTGTTTTGTAAGTACTCATACACACTTCTAATTTGACATAACTTCAAACCTAATTCACAGGAATTTCCATTTAATTGAAAAATTATTTTACTTCTGCACTAGTACTTACTATTTTATATATTTGTAAGTATGGCCCACTGCCAAGGTACCTATGAAGATTATTTAATTTCAGTAGACTTAGATGAACAAACACTTTTTACAATGCCATACTGAATTAGGGATGTGAATGGTTAACCGGTAAGCATCACCGGTGATGCTTACTGGTTACAGTTAGCTGGCAGGACCCTGCCTGCCTCAGAGGGGGCTGCTTCAGCTTTGTGGGACCTGACATGGGTAGGGGGTGCTGGCCAGCTTGGCCATGGTGGGCAGAGGAGCCCAGCCATGGCAGTCCCTACCCCCACTGCCTGTTTAATCAGTTAACTGGTTAAACATCATGTTTAATCAATTAACTAATTAAATGGGATTTTACATCCCTAATCTGAATAGAATCCAGGTCAAATCCTCCAAATCGTCTTGTCATTGGAAAGATGCATCAAGTGCAAATTCTACAAAGTAAACAGCTTTTGAAGTAGTCATGTGTGCTCTGGTGATATTTTAAATGATTTGTGGATTTGGGAGACTTATTCAGTCTCTGATCATGAAAGAAAAATGATTCTGTATATATATCTGGACTTCCCAAATAATTTATAAATTGTGTAAAGGAATTACCTGACACCTGCTACTTCTGGTTTGGATAAATTATTGCTGTATGTATTCTTTCCAATACCCTTACTTCGAAAAGTCATCCAAAATAGTTAGAACGGTGATCTGTTTGCAAAGCACTTTGCAGATAGGATCGCTCGCATTTGGTCTGATTGAGACTCTGGCTGCTATATAAGTGGGGCACAGAATGTGTTGAGTGCACTGCCCAGTCACTTTTCTTTGGAGCAGTTTCAGCTATTACAGACTGAGGATTTGGACAAGGTGCTTGGAGGAGTGCGACTGACCACGTGGTTGCTCGACCCCTGACCTTCATGGCTTATTAAATCTAGCCAGGAAGGGATGATTGGCTGGGTCCACGTGATTAACAACATGTCTTTTAGATCTGGTATGGTACCCGCCACCTTGAAAGAGGCAGCGATAAAACGGTTCTCAAGAAGCCTTCCCTGGACCCACATGATTTAAATAACTATTGCCTAGTTGCTAATATTCCCTTCTTGGGCAAGGTACTCGAATGGGTGGTAGCATTGCAACTCCAAGCTTTCTTGGAAGAAACAGATTATTTAGATCCATTTCAGTCTGGCTTTAGACCAGGTTTTGGAACCGAAACCGCATTGTTGCTCTGGTAGACAACTTACACCAGGAGATAGACAGGGGGAATGCATCCCTATTGATTCTCTTGGACCTCTCAGCAGCTTTTGATACCATCAACCATGGTATCCTTCTGGAATGCCTGGCGGAGTTGGGTATTGGAGGCACTGTTCTGCAGTGGTTCCGGTCCTACCTGTTGGGATGCTTTCAGAAGGTGGAGCTATGGGGCTGCTATTTGACCCTGTGGCGATTGTGTTGTGAGGTCCTGCAAGGTTCCATCTTGTCCCCTATATTATTTAACATCTACTTGAAGCTGCTGGGAGAGGTCATAAGGAGTTTTCGAGGACGGTGCCATCAATATGCAGATGACACCCAACTCTGTTTCCCTGTGACATCAGAACCAGGTGTGTCAGTGACTGATCTAAACCAGTGTCTGGAGGCGGTGATGGTTTGGATGAAATCAAACATGCTGAAGTTGAATCCAGATAAAGACTGAGGTCCTGTGGATCAGGAGGCCATCTGTTTGGGAATGTGGCGTGGCACCTGTTCTAGATGGGGTTACTCTCCCCCTGAAAGAACAGGTACGCAGCTTGGGAGTCCTCCTGAACCTTTTTTAACATTTGAAAACCAGATTTCTTCGGTGGCCAGGAGTGCTTTTAGGCAGCATCGTGTGATCCGCCAGCTGCGACCCTTCCTGAACAAGCATGACTTGACCACGGTGATCCATGCTCTTGTTACATCCAGACTGGATTATTGTAGTGCGCTTTATGTGGGGTTGCCTCTAAAGAGCCTTCAAAAACTTCAACTGGTCCAGAATGCGGCTGCTTGAGTGCTTCGGCACCTGCACTGGCTTTTGGTATGTTTCTGGGCACAATTTAAGATTTTAGTTATCACCTATAAAGCCCTAAATGGGTTGGGTCCAGGGTATCTGAAGGACCATCTTCTCCCGTATGAACCTGCCTGGGGATTGAGGTCAGCTCGGGAGGCTCTGCTTCGTTGTTCCCCCAATTGTGGAGATAAGATTAACATCTACGCGGAACAGGGCCTTCTTAGCTTTTGCTCCCAGGCTGTGGAATTCTCTTCCTCAGGATATTCTCATGGCGCCAACTCTAGCATTGTTTCGGCGTCAGGCTAAAGCCACCCTTTTTACTCGTGCTTTTATTAATGTTTGAGTCTGTATGTGTGTGTTCCTCTTCTCAATATGTTTTAGCAGGTTTTATGTCCCTCTGGGGTTTCGTATTTTAAGTTTTTTACATATATTTGTATTGTGTTTAAACTTTATGTAAGCCGCCTTGAATATTTTAAATAGAGAGGTGGAGTAAAAATATTTAAATAAATAAATATAAATATTCCATGTATTGAAATAGATCTGTGAAATCTTGCTCTGCTTTCCTTTACTACTCTGTGCATAATAAAGTTAACAAGCGTCTATCTGAGCTGTTTTTACTGGCTCCTCTCGTATCCAAAAGCCAAACCACAGGACACAGGCTTCAAGTGGCTTGTCCGTGATTGCAGAGCAAATAAGCCACAGATGGGAATTAGTTGCAGAAATCCTGTGCTCTAACTTCTCTCTTGAATCCACCTCTCCAGAGTCAAGGGAAAGCAGACCGTTGAATAATGCAAAATTCTAGATCTAGCATTTGTGGAGATAGGAGTTTGATAATTCTAGTGTCCGCAATGTGGCATGGGCGTGGGAAGATGAAGACTGATAGTCTTGGCTTGTGAGCTTTGATCCAAAGGCCTCTTAACATTCTGAATTTGCTTTTTAGTGGTGTACAGTGTTCTGCTATCAGGTTCTAGAAATGAAGGTATTTCAAAATGAGAAGTGTCACTTTTTTATATTCTCTTCCCGTAACTGTGCTTTGTACTGACTATAATCCATCTGGGGTCAGTGCAAGACTTACGCTGATATAATTTTCGGTCCCTTGAGTAGATGAGCTAATATCATAAGAGAATGCTAGTATTTTGAGTTATGTTTTCCCATGACTTCATTGTTCTTACTTCACAGGCTGATATAGTTATTAAACTTTGGAAAAACGGATTTACTGTTAATGATGGTGAACTCAGAAGCTACACAGATGTTGCAAACCGGCAGTTCTTGGACTCAATTAAAAAAGGGCAAGTGAGATTTACCTACTGAGCCATATTGTGTTAATATATTTTGTACAGTGCTTTGCTTATATGCTAATGCTGCATGAACTTGTAACACTGTTGATTTGCTTACAGTACAACAGCTCTGAATGAATTTATATTGCAGTTGTCTAAATTGGCCATTGAAGGTATGCTACGCTGCAGCTAGAAGGTGTGATTGCCGGCATAGGTAGACAGATTCATGTTGGCACAACTTAAGCTAGCACACTAAAAGTTAGCAGTGTAGATGGGACACTGTTGGCAGTTCAGTTTAGTCATCTGAATCCAAGCCTAGCCCCACTCGCTGGATCTATCCCATGTCACTGCCTGTGCCACAGTGCCCACACTGCTATCTTTAGCAAGCTCACATCAGACTAGCAGAAGTTTCTCTAGCCACACTGGGGATCACACCTACCAGCAGGCAAGACCTAAAACTTAGTCAACATCTAAAAATTAATTTGACTGTGAAAACTGTGCTCTGTGCAATTTAGTTAGGTCAACCTAACCCCTATTGTAGTTGCATCTAGGTCGACAGAACTCTTCCTACCTACCACTTTTCAGAGAGGTAAATTAACTACACTGTGGTTAGGTCTACACTAGACCTGGAAGGTCGGGTTAAGGTATGCAACTCCAAATACAGAAAATAAGTAGCTGGAGTCGACATATTGTAAGCTGAGCTTGGCACCATCTTCACAGAGGGAGACTGACAGAAGCAAATGCTTCCATTGGCTTCCTTTACTCCTTGAGACTGCAATGAGCACCAGCGCCAATCGGAGCTGCCCTCAGTGTTTGATCTCTGGTGCAGCAAGTGGAGAGGTGGCCTGAGGATGGGGGCTGCTCTGGCAGTGCCTGAGCACCAGTTTACAAGTTACCCCGGTAAGCATGCGGGTAAGGCAGTGCTTACTGGATAACCAGTTAAACCTTTACATCCCTAATTCTGAAGGCACAATAAAGAATAAAGGACAAGATCTAGTGCATGCCGGTAGCTGCACTGCTATATGAAACAGATTCAGTGATTAATTTCAGGGCTGCGTACCAAAGAGGTGCTTTCATTGTGTTTGTGGTTGCTCAACCTATTCTTGCCTGGTCAAGTTTTGAGGCACAGTGGTGTGACCTTTTGGTGCGGGGAAAATGTCTGCAGCCTCTGCAGGTGTATTTTTGTAAAACTTAAGGTTAGTCAGGATTTCAATCAATTGCCTTTTGCCCCGTACTAATTCACTGATTAAGCTAAATCTAAATCAAGGTAACTATTTTTTTAATAGCTATATCATATGAATTAATTTAGCCATTATCTTTTAATTACAAATCTTATTTTCCACATTTTCAAGGCTAGTTCAGTATTAGCAGCACTTCAAAACATTAATTTTATAGCATATTTGAGATTCTCCACTGTGAATACAACCTATAAGGACATGTGCTTCTATCCATAATCTCAGTGAGCAACCTGTCATTAGCTGTGAAGTATGCAACTCTGAATCTATAAATACCGTTATGGTGCTATGGAGGGGTGGGTTGGACAAGCTTCTCTTACAGCTCATAATTATTTCACTAGAAGTTTTTCAGATGATCCCCTGGAAAGTTGTTAAATATGAATAGAATATTGCTAACCGAATAGAATATTGCTAACCAAACAGAAATTTAGTTCACTACAGATCATAGGTATTTGTGATTCTATCTAGAAAATACAGGTTGAACCTCTTTGGTCTGGCAACATCTGGACCATGGATATTGCTGGACTACAGAGCCCCTGGACCAGAGGGGCGATTGGCCACAGGGTTGGCCGCAGCAGCCCTTGTGGCCCCAAGAAGTGGAGCCTAGTGGCTCCAAAGCAGTGTATTCTCAGCAGTTCCAGCAGGCCCTGGAGAGCGGAGCCATGGCTACCATGGCAGCCCTGAGCCCTGGCAGCCCAGGAGCAGGGAAGCCACCACGGCCCCAAGATAACGGTGTGTCCAGCAGCCCCAGGGAGCAGAGCCCCAGTGGCCCAAGAGCCACAGCAGCCCTGGAATCCTGAAACTGTGGCAGTGTTGGTGCCTGAGAGATGTGGCAGCCGTGGGACAGAGGAATCCTGGCAGTCCCTGGACATTGGAGTTGTGGCTGCCCTGGGGTGAATGGAGCCTAATGGCCATGGGGCAGCAGAGCTGCGGCAGGGGGGACTGGCCAGGGGCAAGGGAGCTCCACTAGGTCTGCTGACAGAGCCCAGGGTCCCATCAGCAGAGGGATGGAATTGACCTCCCCTAGTTTGGTAAGCTCCCTCATTAGGGACAAGGGTGCCAGACCAGGGAGGTCTAACCTGTACTAAAATACATACCTTATTTTGCTTAGTCTATAGCTACACCTGGTCAATCAAATTGGTTTTTGAGAGATCTTTAAAAGGAATTCTTTTCCAGAAAGGTGGTCATCATCCCATCACCAAAAATATTACACTGTAATGACATCTAGTATTATCATTTCACAATTTTTATTACATAAGAATGGTCATACTGGGTCAGACCAAGGTCCAGCTAGCCCAGTATTGCGTCTTCTGACAGTGGCCCATGCCAGATGCCCCAGAGGGAGTGAACAAAAACAGGTAATCATCAACTGATCCCTCTCCTATCATCCATTTCCAGCCCCTGACAAACAGAGGCTAGGGAAACCATTCCTACCCATTCTGGCTAATCAGTATTGATGGACCTACCCTCCATTAATTTATTTAGTAAATTTATCTAGTACAGATACTGGTGTTACATTTCATTATATAATGATGCTTCATAGAATCAAAATAACTGGATGGAACTTTGAGAGGTCATCATGTCCAGTTTCCTACACTCATGGCAGGGCCAAGCATCACATAGACCATCCCTGACAGGTGTTTGTCTGACCTGCTCTTAAATATCTCCCTAAGCAATTTATTCCAGCACTTAACCAACCTGACAGAAAGATTTTCCTATAGTCCAACTTGAACCTCCCTTGCTGTAATTTAAGCCCAATTGCTTCTTGTCCTACCACCACAGGTTAAGGAGAATAATTGTTCTCCCTCCTCTTTGTGATAGCCTGATAGCTATAAAATTGAACTGTAGTTTGTGCAATATCCAGGATGTGTTGTCTTTGCTTTTTAATGTTTCATTTATTGGTTAACTCATAAGTCAGTAATTTGCAGGGGATCCCTATCTCATTCGTGTGACTTACTGCAATTATTTTATTAACACATATGCAGTATAATTTGTATCACTAAGTCCTTTTTTGAATGGACAAGCCAGCTACATATTAATCAGGGCTCTGTTTCAGATTTTAAACCATATATTGTTATTCTCTTTTCCTCTTTGCATTCTGAGAACCTTATTTTAATTTGTCCATTTTTTTTTAAGGGAATTGCCATTTGAGTTACAAAAGACTTTTGATGATGAAGTGGATGTGAAGGTGGAAAATAAGAAAGATGAAGTGTATACATTAAGGAAGCCAGTATTTCACCCCTTCTCTGGACAAGGTTACCGATTGGGCAGGTGAGTGGTCTGATGGGATGTATGCCTTCTGAGAAGGCTGGGATAGGGGAGTGGTAACTCTTATCTTCATCCTTTATGTGATATCTATAGCAGTATTTTCTGCAATGATGCTATCCTGTCATACAAAGCTGGGTTGTGCCTGGCTGCCCAGTTGCGGCATGCCGGGCAGCCCAGCAGCAAGGAGCCCGGCCGCCAGCCCTCCACTGAGACTGTCGTGGAATGTCCATGGTCCTTCCAGACAACGGATGTTTCTGGACCAGGGAGTCCTGCATTACTTTTACTTACACACAGACACCCCCCCTCCCCTCTCCGGACTACGGGTTGAACCTCTGTAATCCAGGACTCCCTGGTCCGGCAACATCCGTTGTCTGGCAGGACCACGGATGTTCCACAACAGAGTGTCTCAGTGGAGGGCTGCCCGGCATGCTGCAGCTGGGCAGCCAGGCACAACCCAGTGGGGCTGCCTGGCAGGGCCAGGAGCTCAGCACTCCACAGCAGGACTGGACTGCCTAGCATAGCAGGAAAGGAAGTGGGGGAGGAATGGCAGGGCAGCAGGGCTGGTGGCAAGGGGGAACTGGCTAGGAAGGCTGGTGGCTGGGGTGGGGTTGTCCTGGGCTGGGAGAAGCCGGTAGCAGGGGAGCCAGACATAACCTTCCTTGATCCAGCAAAATCCCTTATCTGGGACCTGTCAGGTCCCAAGGGTGCCAGACCAGGGAAGTCCAACCATATCTATCTATTTTAATGCAGGAGAGTGCAATACTATTTTTGAGTCAGTTAAAATATTTTGTTGTTAATGGGTGCATTATGCTTTTGTACTGTCTGTAACTTAGTATGCTGCTGTTCCACCACTTCATTTAGTGATTCTGTGTTTTGTAATAGATTCAGAATCAATCTTTTCTTAGTTAGCTTAAAATTTAACTTTAAAATTACATCTCCAAATACATTAACCAAAAAGACAGACTAAAATCTCTTTTATGGCAAAAGATTTGCCCTATAACCTTACTAGGTTAAAACCGTGTGTGTCCTAAAGCTTTTATCATTAGCCTGGGCAGAGCACTAGAAAACTTACTTTTAAGGAGCAATCTTGGCAGGGGAGAGATCAAAGGGTCTAATGTCTCCTTCATCTTTAATTTATAAGATTTAAAAGCAATGATGTTTCTTAAGTCAGTATAATAAGACTATTTTTGATCATGGATTTTAGCCTTCTTTCCTGCCACTAGGAGGCTTTACACATATAATTGTTCTCTTGCAAAATTTAATGTATAGGAATAGACTTGACAACTAAATTAGCTTTTTACTTATTCTCCATACTTGGCTAAACATTTGGCCAAATTTTGCCTTAAAGTGTTTGTCTTAGAACTAGCTGCTCTAAGAATCAGTTACATGAAATGTCGAAAATTACTTCTCCATCATATTTTTTGCAAGGCAATTGACCACTTCATAGTTGGGTAGCTGAAGTTACCCATTGTTAGATTTAAATGTATTTATCTTCTCCCTCAATGTGGCACACTCAATATTTATTTTCGTGATTTGGAGAACCGTTGCAGTTTAATTAGGTGCTTTAAGTAAGAGCAACAAATAGAGAAAACAAAAGGGAGCAGGGCACGAGAAGAGTAGAAAAGTGGATGGGTACAGGTGGATGACTGCTGACAGGTGATTTTAATACTAATTTTAAATAATCAAATTAACCACTTCCCCAGTTGCCCTGCTTTCCCCTGGCCACTGAGACTGGCAGTGCTTCTGGCTATAGCCTGCTTTGTCTCTGTGAGTGCGTCCATGGGGGTCGCTGACAGTGCTGGACCAGGAGTGTTGCTGGACTAGGGAAGTCTGGATTATGGAAGTTCAACCTGTACTTCAACCATGATACAATGAAAAGGTAGACCACATAAATAGAGGAAGCCATATTTAACCCTTAATTGCTAAAATTAGTACATTGGAGGATCATTTATTTCAAGTATGTTTATTATCTATAAGATTTACATAATCTATAAGATTTAGGGGTGGCTTTCATTTCAGGTTTTAGAGCAGTGGTCCCCAACCATTTGGGGTTGCCGGGCGCCAGGGGGCGTGGCCGTTCGCCCGGGGGGCGGGGCCCCCCATAGCTGCATTCCAGGGGCCGGCGCTCTCCCCTCAAGCGCCGCGCGCCCGGGGCCGGCGCTAGCGCTCTCTCCCCCCCATCCCCCAAGCGC